CCACACACACACACACACACACACACACACACACACACACACACACACACACAGGTCCCAGTTGTTGGTTCTTTGCATTCACGCCAAGTTAATTCTTCCTCCATGCTGTCTAAGTGCCAGCAGAGGGAGCACTGAGCACATCGGACAGAAAGTCTCACTGCTCTCATTTCTTGTGCCTGGCACCACAATATCTGGCAGCAGCCAGGAGCAATTGCAGGGATAGTTCTTCTCAGCCCCTGTAGCCCTGGCCGAAAGCATGCTATGTGCTGACAGGATCTTTAGAGAATCTGGCTTCCAAACTCAAGCAAAACTCTACAGAACATATGCAAACTGAGCTTTTCTAAAGGCCAAATTTTGTCAATTTTTCCACAAGAACAGCGAAGGGCTCCCAGACAAAAGGCCACCCATCGGTCAAATTTCAAATCCTTACTCCAAACCATAGAGACCTAGAGTGTCTCAATGAAATGATTGTGAGAATTTTTGTTTTGTTTTGTTTAAACATATGGACAAAAATCCCTTATTTTTCTTAATCTCGTTCTTGGAAAATAAAACCATTTTTACTGAAATTTACCAAAGCAATTCAGCCTAAGGCAGACACCTTGCATAAAACATTTTAGCCTAAATGGTTGAAGTCTGGCAAAATAATAAGCACCTAAAAACAGGGTCTTATACCGGGAAGTGTTGGGCAACCTTAACTATAAACATCACTGAATAATTAAGTAGTGCAGAACCACCAACTATTGGCCAGTGCCATTTAAGATCAATGAGCATGAAATTTCACATTGGCAAAACCAGTATAAAGTTTTTTTGCTGCAAATATTCTGCAAGGTGAAAACAAAGCACAGATTTTCCTAAGTCATTACTGATGTAGATGAGTGAGCACTCTGAAGATGTAAAATGATATAATGCAAGAAGTGCTAAGAATTATTACACATTATTGTCAACATTTTGGAAAACTTTCATCTATACTGCCACTGTCACAAACAAGATAGCAAAAAACCCACCAAAAATAACTAACCAAGTAAGAACTGTAATACAAGAAGAAAGGCAATATTACCTTTTCCTGAAACTACTTCTTTCTCATGTCTCCATCTAAATCCAAACTGTGATAAAGATAAAAACTGAAATTAGGTTCTGAACAGTCAAATAAATTCAGAAGACATACAAAATTTAAAAAATTAATTTCAACTGCTTGCTGCCCTTTACCACTGTTCCCTTGTTTAGCTCTGTTAAATAAAATATTCATCCCTCACTCAATAAAAAGAAACTTACAGATTTTTTTATTGTTGGATTGAATCATGTGAATCAAATGGAATCTGATTCAGTGGACACGGATCTACAAGTCTAAAATGTCCTGCTAGCAGACAAAAAGTAAGAGAAATCAGGAGAGAAAGAATTGCAATGCAGAATGAAATACAATTCTTTCTTCACTGTAAACAGTGAGGAGAACGCTGGAAGTTGAAATGGAATGTGAAATAGATATTTTAGTTAAGTTTCAATATCCCATTTTCCACCTCATCCCTACAGGAGTTAAAACAAAACTACATTTATTTAAGGCCTTGTCTACACTACACTGCTAAACATCTACACTAAAATGTAGCTTCCACTGATGTAATTCACCCACTACACCAACCTAATAACTCCACCTCTGCAAGAGGCATAATGTGTAAATTGACGCACTTAGACTGATGCAGCATCAGCGTTGCTTCCTTTCAAAAACCGTCATACAATGCCCCTCACTGGCAATTAAATCAGTTCAAGCACTCCTTCGTGAGGATGCACACTGCCAACACAAGGAGCGTAGTGTGGATATGTAAAACTTATTCAATTACCGCAGTGCCTGTGTGTCAACAAAACTTAGGTCGACTTAATTTTGTAGTGTAGACTTGCCCTAACTTATATTTCTTTCTGTTTCTAGACTTTGTCCAGGAATTTAATATGAAGATAATCCAGGCCCCTTTTCCTGAGAAATCGCTCTCCGTACCATTCCCTGCTTTTTCTGCCCACCACCCTTAAATCAAACCATTCCCTGACACATTAGGGGGAGTCTAGTGAGAAGGCCAGACTGTAAGAAAGAAAGCTGATGTCAGGATACACAGAGGGAGGGAGGACAGTCTGAAGGAAATAGTCTGGTCTAAGATCACTGCTAATTAAAAAGCAGAGAGGGGAGAACAGAGATCAGCAGCATAGCATTTCCCTGGAAGGAGGGTGCCTTTTATCTAATCAGTGTTGCCAACTCTTGTGATTTCTTTCAGAATGATGGAATTTTGGAGGGTGCTGGGCTGGTGATGATGCAAGAAGCTCCAGCCCCCTTGAGAAATACAGCCCTGCTGGAAGCTGGCAAAGTCTCTCCCCTCCACTCACTGTTTTCACAGGAGGAGAGGAGGGAGCAGAGTACAGCAGCCTAGCACAGATCCGCTCCCTCCTCCTTCCCCTCCTGTGAGAAATATGGGCAGGACAATGCCTCTACTCCTCACCCCTACAGCCTCTAGCCTGGAAAGGAGCAGAAAGGGGATGAAGAGCCCATGTTGCCACTACCCCCCATGACCGGGATAGGGGAGAAAGAAGCCGGCTGGAGCCCCCACACAAGCATAGGAGAGGGGGGATGAAGAACCCTAGGAGGAGCAAAGGTGAGGTTGGGGGGCTGAAGAGAGTAGGGGGACTGAACTGACGGTGAGGGCTGAGGGAACTGTGCTGAGAGGGAAGGGGGCACTGAATTAATGGTGCGGGTTAGAGGCTGATGAGATGGGAGGCTGAACAAATGGAGGTGAGGCTGATGAGGCCAAACTGAATGGAGGGTGGGGGTGAGGATCAATTGCTGGGCAGGAGATGGGCAAATGTAGGGGGGAGAGTCCCTGCAGCAAGGACCAATACTTTTGGGAAAGTGGGAAACACTTAAATGTGTCTCTCACTCTCACACAGGATGAGCTGGAACAGTTAAAAAAATAAAATAATAATGGTTTTTCATCTATTATTTTTTTAAAAAACCCTCATGATTTGGATCTCTTGAGGGGGACCAACTCATGATTTTGGCAATACTGTGTCTTCATCTGAAATTCCTGGACCAAATAAATATGTCAACCATATAAAATTAAAACTCTTTGGGCCAGGGACAACATATTTGTGTGTGTTTATAGAGCAATTTACATTATAGGGCTCTGCACCTGATTGGAGAGTTAAGTAAATATAATTTTGTTTGAAAACAAGTTAATACATACTTAAACTCACCTAAAATTGCCATATAAATTTAGTGCGTTTCTGAATTATTTCAATGCAGAATGTGTTTGTTACTTATCTTCATTTCTCTTATTTCCTAGCTTTTAGGAAGAAAATAGCAGGTTTGTCAGGGAATGAATTTTACTTTTTTGTTAATTATAATATTTAAAAGATATTTTCTGTTTTGCTACAAATCATTTTCTGAGAAAAACAAAACACTTGAGTGTCCCTTCAACGCCCAAACTGTGTCTAGTATTTTTTTAAACATAATCTAACAGTGACCAGATTGTGCATTTTTAGCTCATTGATACACAATGAACACAAGGCAACTCCAATAGCTTAATGATTCACATCTCCTGACTTACTGCTTAATTACAGAACTGCTCACATGATGTACCCATAATACAATCTGCTAAATGGAAAACCCAGAAAGCAGCCTCGGAATGCATCTGGGAGACTTTCAATTTATCAACTGAGAGTACAGCTGCTGACAGCAGAAGATTATAGAGCTCCTGTTGATGGCTGAATTGGAACTCAACTGAGTTCAAAGGATGCTATCTGCATGTTGTAACATTTATCAAAGGTTAAACCAGACAGAAAAAATACAAAAGTGTAAATGGAGTAACATCATCATGTAGTGCACACACACACAAAAAACACGTAAGAGGGACATGATGCTATTAATATCTACAGACCACTAAGAAAAAACTGCAAGGTGCAATGGGCTACAGTATCACCAATATCTAGATGCTCAGGTCCATAATTCACATTGTATGAAACACAGATTCTACAATCTGTCTGCTCCTCTGGCCTTGTTTATAATGGCAAAATTGTAGCTATAATTTTGCTAGGGCTAGGGCTCAGGCATTTTTTCTACAGTAGAACCTCAGTTGTAAACTTCTGAAAGAACCACCATAATGTTTTGTTCAGTTACAAACATTTCAGAGTTACAAACAACCTCCATTCCCGAGATGTTTGTAACGCTGAGGTTCTACTGTACGGTGTCATCTTACTCTACTCTGTGGTAAAAACATCTGAGCCCTGCCTGTAAACAGATTCCATGGTTGCCATCAGTGCTAGAGCAGTTCTGGAGGGGATTTATGGTTATGTAGACAAGAGATAAGCGGTGCTAGCTGGCAACAGAAGAAGCATCTGTAGGAATAAGTGGGAATGTATTTACCCTCTCTATTCAAGGTACATATTTGCCCTTCATTAATGTAGTTTTAAGACTTTTAAGACTTGAGGTCCTATTGAACCCATAGCTATTCCCTGGATACTCCAGATGCAAATGACCCATAATGCTTATTCAGGGGTCCCCAACATGGTGCCTTCGAAGTGTGCCCGCGTACTGGCCGGCAGTCGAGCATCCGCCGTAATGCCGCCAAGAAGCAGTGTCATCCAGAGGCGTTGCCGCCGAAATGCGGCCAATTTTCTGCGGCATTTCGGCAGCGACACCGCTGGATGACGCTGCTTGTCGGCGGCATTTCGGCGGCGATGCCTATTGACATTGCCGTTTGTCGGCGGCATTTCAGCAGATGCTCGTCCGCCGCCACGGCCCTCTGTGGCTCGTCGTCTGGCGCCCACGCGACAAAAAAGGTTGGGGACCACTGTGCTTATTTATCACCTCTGGTTGACCAGAAAGAAGCAGACCACCTCAAGTGAAGTTGATCATTATGAGCAAATTATATCACTGCTCCATTCCTTTATGTGCTTACTTTCAAGCAAAATTTAAGGAATTGGTTTACATTCTTTAAAGCTCTTAATGGTCTGGGATCTGCCTAACTCAGATTTATTATGACTATTATTATTCATTTATACAAAGCTATAAACTTGTGCAGTTTAAGAATTTGTAAACTTTACAATACAGAACAAGACAAGTTTGATGTCCTAAAGAACTTACAAGACACAGGACACACAGTAGTTTATGAGAAGGAACAAATACTGTTGAGGAAATCAAGGTCAGAAATATTTCTGAAGTAAGTTGCTTACACAGAGGGATTTGATGGATGAAAGAGAATGCCAAGCAGAAAAGGATTGGGAGCCTGTTTCAAGCATAGAGGGGTACATGAAAAAAGTTGCAAAGCTGAGAGTGGAAGGTTGTGATAAGGGAGAACTGACGAGAGAACACTGGAAAGAAGAAGTATAGAGGGAGAGAGGGAGCAAGACTATATACGGTCTTGACAGGGAGAACCAGGATCCCAAATTTCACGAGAGACAGGGAAGCCAATTAAGGTACTCAAGTTAAAAGCACTGCTTAATTATTATATGTACTGTGTACTCCTTCATTCATTCAAAATCTTTACATGAAGTGAAACTTTCCCAAGCAACCTTCTAGTCAAAGAACAAAAAGACTGCATGGAACACTGTGAAATAATATTACTAGAACTATTTGACTACGCCAGAACATTCAGCCACTTTGTATTTCCACAGCATATTGGGGCCACTTGATGTGAGGGCCAAAGAACAATGCAATCAATATTCAACCAGTGGAATAATCCCCCTAAAGACTTTTCCAGGCAGAATAACTTAACAGCAGTCTTGTGGCTTTCTAACTTGTGCCAGGTTCAACTGCCCAAGACACATAAAGTGGCTCAAAACCACCTTTGTCTCCTTTATCCCAAGTTGTGTCTTCAGTTAACTTGGTACATCTGAGTATTAAACCCACTCACTGTATTTGTATTTCATATATAATGGTTCAAATCTCCATTATGCATTGCCTTCATTTTTTAATGTTCCTAGCTTCAGTACAGAAATATATTGTACAGAGCTACTATTTTTTTTTATGATCAATGATCATTACCATAAAGGCAATAGCGCAGAACATTTATGTAAAAAAATGCCACAGGGACCAAACTACATAGAAAAGAACTGGGAGCCAAAAAGTTGC